TATCAATATAGATGTTCGCAGCTGTAAGGCCCTAAAACAGCAAGCTATGAAACTCCTTCCACAAGAGCACTGTTAGAGTGAATCCTATGGACATATGTCATACGTATATTTTCTAAGCTTCACTCTCATATACTAGTCATCATCTAACTTTTAAGGTTTAATCATTCACCTTTGTAGACAGTGTGCATCTCAAAGTGACGGCTACAGTGGTCTTGCACTGTGAAAGAGTGAGTAAAAAGTAGTAGTCTATGAAATAGTGACACCTGCTGGAAGCAAAAACAACACTGCCTTTGAGAATGGCTTTTTTGATAAAAACTATACAGGCTTCAGTTATTTGTACATGACAATTTCAACTGCAATTCGTATTTTTGTTTAAATAATTTAACATGAAAATTTAAAGGTATTAATACATTTTGTGGGCAGTATACTCTCATGGTGGTTAGAGCAGGTCTCTCACAGCTCTAAAGTCCTGAGTTTGATTTTGGAATGGTATGTTCTGGATGGAGTTAGCATGTTCTTGGAAGATACTATCCAACTCTTTGGAAGCCTCCTAGACATTCCAGCTAATTGGTTAATTGGTGTATCTAATTGGTGTACCTCTGTGTGTGTCCCTGGAGAATGTCAGGGTGGTGACAGGAATGGACACTTCTAAGGTGAATTTAAAGAAACTGAGACTGTGATACCTGGATCATCTGCTTCAATGGATCAAAGCTACACACCACAAGAAGCAATGACCTGGACACCTGAAATTGGAAAGAGACAAACATGGAGGACAAAGACCAACTGGAGGCAGACAGTTACGAAGGGCCTGAAAGAAGCAGTAGCATTGACAAAGAAATAGTCTGAGTGCAGTAACTGTATTGCCCAATGTGCCAGCTGTAGCACTATAGACTTATATTGTATATAGAAGTTAAAATTATATCTATAGACTTGGATGGCAGTCCATCATAGGGCACATATCTTACCATTGAGCTTATTCTAAGGTTAGATTTGTGCCCAGCAATGGACTGATATCCTATCCAGAGTCTGGTCCTATCTTATGGCCTGTGCTTGATTTATTTATTAGTGTTTTGTGGATGTTTTTGTTGCATAAAGCTGTAGGTTTTGTGAAACCTGGCTTTACTTTTCTGTTTCTTTGACTCCAAAACCATTTTAATCACAATAGAAGGGGAGGGGGGGAGAATAGACAGAAAATCAACATGTTGATAATGTAATCAAAATCACAGATTGCATTGGTAAAACATACAACCATAGAGTATACACAATACTCCTGAAAGACTGAAAAGATAGAAGAAGTGAAGATGTAGCGTTATAAATCTAAAAGAGCATTCAGGAAGAGGAAGTTAACCAAGACGAAACAAGGGTCTCAGAATCTGAAATCATTTAAAGGATATAAAGTTAGGAGTTTGCTTCATACTATAGAATACCAACATATTTAGATATCCAGTATACTGCAGGCTTTTAAAATTGAAAAAAGGAATATATGTGTGTGAAAAAAGAACTGAGAGTTTGGGGAAAATCACTAGGACCATGACTGCTTTCAATAAATCAGTTAAAGAAAAGGAAGGGGAAATAAAAAAAAATCATTAAATGATTTAAAAAGAATAACATCCAGTTACAAAAATACAATATAATAAATTAAAAAGCTTAATTAAAAGGCAAAATTTACATTAGAAAAACCAAGAGGGCAATTATTGCTCAGAGGTCAAAATTAAATAAAGGTTTTCTGCTATTACAACATTCAAAATGACAGTATAGGATGAAGTAATGTGCCTCAGAGTTAATAAAGGGAAACACTGAGATGGCGAAAGGGAATTGGCTGAGACATGAAAGGAGGGTTTCACACAGTTGTCCTATCAAGGAAGAAAATGCCCACAGAAACAAGTTTGGCATAGAAGAGTTACAGGTGCTGGACACACTGATGCTGATGCTATTCTTCTCTTTATACTAAAGTAAACAAGGGATGCTACAGTATGTTTAGATTCCTAACAAAACTCTTCCAAACGTCATCCAGAACAGATGACTCCCCTAAAGGCACAAATCCCTTACCTATAACACCTTTTCCTTAATAGAAAAGTACTTTTCCCAGTGCCCTGTACATAGTAGTGCCTAGATGCAGTACTGTGTCTAAGGGCATTGATAATAAATGAGCAGCACTCCATTGAATTAGATTTAAATGTTTGTTTTCTCAACTATGAATGGCTGTGTGTCTGATCTGTAAGGGAAAATGCCAGGGGGGAGTGAGTGAGGCAGAACACATGTAGTATATCAGAGGGTGAGGGCAGAGAAAACTACAGAGACTAGGATTAACATCAGTGGCACAACCCAGCCCCAGTGCACAAGAGTCACATTCAGGTTTCTTACTTTTTCTTTAAGTCATCAATAGCTTAGAAATAAAGAATCCAATTAAGGCTACATACAGTCAGTTTAACCCTTCTCCCGAGGTCTTTACTAGCTGTTACTTTGGACTTTGGAAATTTGGATTTCAAATGTACATATCTCTCTCTGAACATCAGTAAAACTAAGGAGATGATTGTGGATTATAGGGAACACCAGGGAGGAGATCACATACCTATCTATATCAATGGGACTGCAGTGGAGAGGGTCAGCAGTTTTAAGTTCCTGGTAGTTAACATCTCAGAGGACTTAAGCTGGACCCACCATACCAACACTGTGGTCAAAACAGCATGGCAGCGCCCATTCTTTCTCCGTAGGCTAAAGACGTTTGGTAAGCCGTCACTTGTCCAGGCCAACTTCTACAGGTGCACTATTGAGAGCATCCTGACTGGTTGCATCACTGCCTGGTATGGGACCTGCTCCACCCGGGATCATAAAGTACTGCAGAGGGTGGTGAAGTCAGGGAAGAAAATGCCCACATAAACAAGTTTGGCATAGAAGAGTTACAGGTGCTGGACACACTGATGCTGATGCTATTCTTCTCTTTATACTTAAGTAAACAAGAGATGCGATGTTTAGATAGCATCCAGGATATCTACTCAGCTAGATGTCTTAAGAAGGCCAGGTCCATTCTCAAGGACCCCAGTCATCCCAGTCACAAACTGTTTTCTCTCCTACCATCCGGTAAATGGTACCGAAGCATTCGGTCAAAGTCCAACAGATTACGGAACAGCTTCTACCTCCAGGCAATAAAACTGCTAAACAGCCAACCTGTAGCTCCTTTAGAAAATCACCCGTAATGGCTACATGGACATGCAGTTTTCATTGTATTCAGCATAACCGCACTACTTGGACATAATGTATTCCAGAAACCATGGACACATAGCAGCTCTATTCATATTGAGTTTTGTTCAATTTCTATTACATTATTATCTATTATTATGTAACCTTATTTTCATAACCTTAATTTAGTGATTCTTGTGATTCTTGTGATTTTTGTGAGTTTGCAGAAAAGACATTTCATTGCCAGCAACTACTACTGAACGCTGTATTGTTGTGCATTTGATAAATAAACTTTGATTTGATTTTGATTTGGTTGGCAGCATGGTGGTCCAATGGACAGTATCACTGTCTTGCAGCACCAAATCCATGTGTTCAGATATGGACCTGGGGTGCTATTTGTGTGGAGTTTGTATGTCCCCCCTGTGTTTGTGTGGGTTTTTTCCCATGGTCCAAAGATAGGTTAATTGGTTAATACAGGTAGGTTAATTGGCTCCTGGGAATATTGGCACTAGTGTGTGTGTATGTGTTTGCCCTGTGATGGACTAGCTCCCTGTCCAGGGTGTATACTGTCTTGTGCCCTTTGTTTGCCGGGTTACTCACTGACTCCCCCATGACCCTAAATTTCAGGTAGTGGTTAGAATGTGGATGAATGGATTTCAACCACGATAGTGAAGAGCAGATTTTCAGTGCTCTCCAAAACCCAACATATGTGATATTGATCAGAACACGAATCGATCTTAAAAAGTTTAAAAAAGAAGAGAGAGGGATTTAGAGAAGATTATGTTGTTTTTTCTTGGTAACAACCCTCCAATGGTAAGCCCCTGGTTATTTTTAATGAATGGATTTGTGTCTTCCCAGGTTTCCATGGCAACATGACACACAATAAAAATGAAAGCAAAATGAAAATAGCATGCACTATAAATCAACTGCTGTCCTTTCGTATCAGATGACTTTGACACCGCACTGATATTATTTTAAAGTGAAGTTTTTAAAGAGTCACAGAGTATTCTATTTGATAGTATTCCACTTGAATAAGAGATCATGTATATTTTATATAGAGTCTCTTTAAAATGTCAGCGCAGTGTTGCTTGCTATAATTGTAAATATTTAATATAATTCATCAGTGTTACCATTATGCCACTGTTAACTTTGGAAGAGTAGACTGTATTTCGTAAGAATATACTGTATTATACAGTGTAAAAGCAATAAAGATTGTATACTAAATCCTTAATGTGCTGAAGGAGCCAAAAGTGTTTATGTGCCACTCTTTGTGAAACAAATTCTTGGAATATAATTTTCTAGTTTATCTTCCACGTACATGAGCTATTTCTGCGAAATAACCACTGAAAACCTATAGAGTGGTGTTAGGCAGAATCAGCTTTAATTACATCATTTAATTACATAATTACAAAAAAGGAGAACATTAAAGACCTTCAATTTGTTAAGAAAAACAGTTAAATTATTTTTCTGAGGTTTTATGTATGTAGGTTTGTAACATCATCCCAGAGATAAAATCAGTGCTCCTTTGTCTCTGCGTTACTTTCCTAGCTGATGCTTTGCTTGATTACTTTCCTTGGTGATGCTTGCCCTGTGTTTCAACGTCTGTCAGGCTTAGAAGAGTGGAAGTTGATTAATATTATTGGCTGTAACATGGACAGTAGCCCTAAAATAGACTCTACAGAGGCTAAGTGGTTAAGGTGCATACTAATGCACATGACTCTGCTCATTTTCACCATACAATGAAAACACCAGCTACCAAGCTGCATTGTAGAATTGCACATGCTCAGTGCAGGGCATGAATCCCCATTCATAGCCTGCTTTTCCTCAGACAAGCAATCCTGCTGCCTCACTGCTACCCTGCACTGCCTCTTGGATTGGATCTTTTCTTCATCAGGAAAATTATTATTTTGTCTGAGCCCTGATCTTCAAAATTAAGGAGAGATTGTTTTTTTCTTGTTTGTGTTTGTCAAGATGATCGATTCCAAATAAAGCGAGCTGAATGGATTCTTTTTTTCCTCACCCCCCTCTCCTTCTCCTTGACAACCACAGGCTCTGAGGCATTTTGAAATTATTTCAATCTTATGAAGAGCTCAAAAAGCTTGCACATCAATAAACTGTGTCTACATCTGGAAGGCACAAGTAATGCTGACTGAGGCAAGACTGGATTATTGTTCTGCCTTAAGGAAGGTGTTTGCAGGTTGGGGTTGCGAATAATGCAATAGCCAACCATGGAGTTCAGCTCCTCTTCTGTATTTGATCAGCATAAAGGTAAGCAGCTGTGTGTGTAAATGTTACAGTCAAAATGACAAGTGTACAAAGTGCTGAATTTCAAATGATTTTGTTCTGAATGCCTGCGCTTTCCTCTGGAATATACAATAATTTGTACTTCTATAAGATTTGCTGGTAGATTTGAAATGAGGTCGGGACACACGGCTGTCATTAACTCTTTACATGGACTGGCAGTTTCAAGAAACTGGAGGTAGCCAAGAATGTTTTATAACAATGTTGAACAAAAAACAGGGGGGGGGGAGCAATGGTTGGGATACACATTGCAATCGTGAAGGATTTACAAAACTATTTTCATTATATGACATTTTTAGAAAATTGTGTAGATATTTCTGATGAACAATTGAACTGTACGCTGTGGAGCTGCAAGAAAGATTTGCAAGTGCAAGTGCAAATTTGCAAAGTGCCGTGCAAAAGTAACTGGACCTTTGCACAGTTTTTACATGTTTTTATTTAAAGCTTGCAGAGACAATTTGAATGGGCAATTCATTTGTGTTATGCACAACCTACCCCATACATTCCTTAATTTAGGTACACAATTTTTTTTTTAAGAAACAGCACAATTATTTGAGTGGCCTCTGTCATTGTTAATAATAGCTTTTCACACATTACAGATTAAATACACCTGTCTCTAAAGGTCCCTCACGCAAGTATTGGCACCCAAGCAAAGATTCAACCATGAACAGCAGGGAGCTTTCAAAACAGCTTAATGTTGTATAGTATTAAGGCTAAGATCTGTATAAGGGTACAAAAACAAGGGTCTGTATATTTATGGAATCAATATTCAATTGCATTTTTTCTCTTTACTTTGTACTGGCATTTACTATGACAAATCTTATCTTAAGGTGTCTCCAGTTTGAGATTTTAGGTTTTGAATAACATTAATTTAAGCAATGTGTTTGCATTGTTTTGGAATTTCACATAGGAAGGGTCTGAAGACTTTTGCAGGGCATAGTCAAAGCAGTACAGTCTACTCATACTGAGTTAGCATTCACTTAAAGAGGTGAGGCTTCTGAAGATCTGCTGTTCTCTGCAACACACAACTGGTTCTGCATGACAAAGGGTTTAAATTTACAGTTGTGAAGAACATACATCAATGAAGGCCATAGAACAGAAATGATTATAGTGAACTCAATTAAAAGAATTATTTATTAACAACCAAGAAGCACTTAAATGAGACCATTAAGGAAACTCTTTCAGCACTTACTCAAGATTCCTAGTGTAATGTAATACAATTATCTATAAAAAGAATGGCAAACCTGAACCAAACATTTATAGATCACAAAGTCTGACTGCTATTACATGCAGGTGGTGGAAACAATTATTCAAACTTAATTAGCAGATCACCTGTTTGGCAGTCAGAAAGATTTGACACAAATTTAAAAATGGTATTTTTTAACTAGCAATAAGTTCTTTGAACAAGCAACAGGAGAAATGGATACAAACAGAACTTTTTTTGGATTTTAAAATGGCTTTTGGTCAAAACGTTTCTCACAAAAGATTAATTCTGAAATTGCAGGCAATAGGCATTCGTGGTAATACATGTATTTGTCTTACGAATTGGTTAATGGACAAGAAATAGAGCACAGATTAGGGACACCTGCTCAGACCGATGATATAATTAGTGGCATGCTCCATGGTTCTGTATTAGAACTACATCTAATCCCAATTTATATCAATGTTGTCTTTGATTCTAGAAATGCTCACAAATTAGTCAGGTTTCCAGATGATTTCAAAATTAGCTTAAGGAGTAGAAAACCCAGTAGAAACAGCAGGAGAAATTCAAAACAACTTGGGAAAACAAAAACAAAAAAATTAAATCCAAATATAGAATTGGGAAAAAACTTGGTAGAATACATTTTTTGGTTATGGTGGCATCTGTTGAGTTTTACATGCAGGTAGCAAAAACATAAAAAAATTACAGTAGGTGTTTATGCTGACACATCATTTTATTACCCCAGGCAATGTGAGGAAGCAATAAAGGAAAACAGAATGTTGGGATACATTGTTACAAGTAATTTTATTATAGCTAAAAGGTTGTGCTAAAACTGCATTAAGAAATGCCCATTTACAATAGAAAATAAGAAAAGCAGAGAAAAGTACTAAAGGACCTGATTCGAGTATTCAAAATCCTCAAAGGCACTGACATAGTGGAAACTATATGGAAATTGTAAAATTTTTAAAATTTAAAACTGAAAACAAAATATTTGTTTACACCAAGACTTGTGGAAGTATGGAACAACACATGCTATTGAAGCCTGGCTCATCAAGAAACAGCTAGATTAGGTTTTTGGACCAATTAACCGCTGGGAAAAAAAGTGAGATTGGTAGAATTACCCATTCTCAGGTTCTTAAGAAATAAAAACAGAAATACAGAATACATGATGTTTAAATTAATTATGCTGCCTCATAGCTCTTCGGGCCTGGATTTCTGTCTACACTGGGGTACTTCCTGTTTGACGAGGCTCTTTCTGTACAGTATCTGTATGGGCTTTGATCGGGTACTCTGGTTAGTTCAGAAGACATGCTGTATACAGTAGGTTAATTGGTGTCTGCAAATTGTGTGTGTGCATTCAATTCAGGGTGTTGTCCTGCCTACTACCCTATATTGTAGCTTTGCAATAGGCACCAGGTTGTCACAACCCTAACTAGGAATAAACAGCTTTCTAACACTGGATGGATCGAAACCAAGGAACTCTTTGAAACACAATCTGTATGCTATTAGTTATAAATTATATACAGTATATTAGCATTTAACGACTAAGAATTTAATTACATAATAGATTATTTGTTGTGATGTTTCAAGGTTGTAGCAACTTAAGTATCGGAATCATGATAAAATATATTTCTCTAAAATAGCTGAATTGCAAAGAACATTTGCCCAAGTGAGAAAAGGTATGAGATATCATGTCAGAATATTTTTTCTAAGAAGAGGGAATTTTCTCATCTTTTTCCTTTATGTTACATATTGCATTTTTATTATGTTATGTATCCACATGAAAGGGATGAGTCGATATAATAGTACCTCATTTGCATCATAAAAAGGTTCTGCTGCTTAAAAATATTTGTCACCCTCAGCAAGAGCAGAATGAGAGGTTACACGTGAAATGCTGAAATTTACAGACAATGCATAGTTTATCACTTAGCATGTTCTGTTGTCTTTTACAAGTATTCCTTTGTGCAGAGGTCTCAAGCTCAGTTTGTGGAAGGTCTAGTGTTTTCTCTTTTTTGTTCCAACTTGTGTAATAACCTAATTATTTTCCTGAATATATTTAGATATTTTCTTAACGTCTTTTATACAGTAGTTAATTACTCAAACCATTTTCTTTATTAAAGGTGCTGTATAGTAACCAGCAAAAAAACATCAGACACTGGTAAAACATTAAAATTACTAAAATAATAAGAGCAACTGTGTGGGCGAGTGCTTGGATGAAAGAAATAACAGAAGACACTAGGCCCTCCAGAAACCTAGTCTGAGACCACTGCTGTAGTATGTTTCCATTCTGTTCCACTGGTTGAGCTGGATAAACTGTCCCCAGTTTGTGTGTCACAGCAGTCCCTCCTGCCTGGCCAGAAGTTAGACCTGTAAGTTTGCTGTGAGAGAGAAATGCACAGTTAATCACATCAGTGCAAAGTCTTCTGTGGACTTTGAGGCTCACAGCATGAAGGGTGCCAGCTGGCTGCACTGATCTGCAGGAGACAATCTGTGTTTTCCATCCCTGCCCTTGAGCTGGAGGGCCACAGCAGCAAAAATGAATCAATTAATAACTAGCAAATCCCAACTGGGTATGTGTAAATAAATTATTTTAAATTAAGTAACTTATGATTAATTCAAATGTTATTTCCTTTCCAAATTCAGTAACAATGTTTCAATGCCACAAAACGGTATTGAAATTGTGTTTTTTTTTTATTTAAGGACACAACATTTTAATAATGTAGTTCTGGGGTTCATTGTCATAACCTGCATGGTGTCTGTGTACTGTAAAGTATGTGTATCTTATTTTACAAGTGAAAAGGTATGAGCCCATCTTAGCCTGAAGGTGATAATGATTTCTGAAACAAAGCTGGCTTTCTTTCTGCAGTTCTCCCTTTACATTTCTCTAACTTTTGTTACAAATAAAACAAGATTTTAGTCACCTTACACTTCTACAGACATTTTAATTCAATTTTGAGCATGTCCAACTGATTTACCCCCTGATTTTCAATACACTTTTGGTTATATACAGTATGATAGGAAGCCATTCATTCCTGGTTACTCTATTACTTTAACATCTGCAGGTTATGTGCAGATTTTTTCCAGTTACTGAATTCTAAGAGTGCGAACTGAGGAACAGGAAGATCAGCATTGTATAGGAAATTTCCTAAAAAATGCTTCTTTGGAATCAGTCTAAATAAAGTGGAAAGGAGCAATAATCTTTTTACACTGCAACAGAAAAATCAAGTGAGGGAACTTAATTTTGTTGTACAGTAAGACGTCCCTCAAAGTACTTACAAAGTGAAGCGAGATGACTCCTTCAGGATTCCAATGTGTAGAAAGCACAAATGGAAGTAAATTTAAGACTAAGAACAGAAAACACTTCTTTACACAGAGGGTTGCAGGAGTCAGGAACAAGCTACAAAGTAGCTTGATACCCTTGATAGAGTGATACCCTGGATTTAGTCAAGACATGGGCAGATGAGATCCTCATATTACTCAGTTACTAGCAAATGGCATCTTATCTGTAACCTGTCACATGCCCTTATGACAACCTCTTACACTGTGAGAAAATTAAATCCTGTTTCAGCCACCTGAGCCACAATGAGCCCTTAAACACAGAGATATGAGAGACCTAGATAGATACTGTTACTTAGAACAGGTTCTTATGCAGAGTTCTGTGCATGCCTTAGCCACTGTGCTCCTCTGTAGTTTATTGTGCAACTGCACATGGAACTGTACCTCTTATTTTGCCCATCAGTATCTGTTTCCACTTAGTAGATTGTCAGAACTTTGTTCTTCATGATGTCAATCCATCATGTTAATCGACAGAGGCTGTAGTCATAATTGTATGTCTCAGTAAATACTAAAAGTCCAGCATTAAAGTCAAATTCCAAATGCATTGCATTATCCATCAGTCCATTTTCTAACCACTTCAACATGTCAAGTAAAATTTTAGAAAAAGAAACAAAAACATTTTCATAATTTTCAGACAGTAATATTGTCATGCTACCAAGAGGGCTTTAACAACAAGCAAGTTGAAAATGTAGATATAGTGTATTATTTGGAAAAGAAAAACAAACAAAAAAAGTCCATCAAAGTTTTTAAGCTTTCTCCCATCCTTCAATATAATAAGCTCTTTCCTTTCCTATTTATTTTCTGGTAATGGTCACTGATTTTAAATTTACAGTGATATAGCCAAATGACTTAAGCCAAGTCAGATGTTCAGATATGTTCAGAATTACTGTTTTTGTTCACATTTCAAATGCTTTTACTCTGCAGGCCTCAGAAATAATTTCTTAGTAGCACCTGTTGCATCTAATCGAGTACAATACTAAATCATTCATAATTACAGTTGATTGCATTTGTACAGCACTTTTCATCCCAAAGTTTCCAGAATGCTTCATATATGGGAGGGGTGTATACAGTACATTGCAGCACCCTCCTGAGTGGAGAGTGGCAGCGATGACGTGTACCAGCATCCCCCTACACAGCAGACTGGATGGAGAAGTGAGAAATTATTATTTCAGTGCTGGAGTTAAGAGGAAAATTAAGATGAGGATACATTTTGCAAGTCCAAACTTGAATTTAGCTTAAACATCAGAGTTTACACCCTTGTTCTGTAAAAATGCTACTACTGTATATTTAATTTCCTTAAAAGACGCCGCCAGTCACCAAACCCTTTTGGCATTGGTTTGTTTTAATTTGTGGTGTGGGGGGAAGAGTGCCACCTACTGGTCCACCAATACCACTTACACCTGCAACCTCAAAGTTTGACATCCTTGCTTAGCTTCTGAGATCTGACAAGATCGGGATATTAGGTGGGAATAATGCTTTCAAAATGACTGTCTCTCATTAATAAAGATGTAAGAACAATTACAAATAAGGGGAGGCCATTTAACTCATCCAGCACATCTTTATTCCAGTAGCTAATTGATCTAATTATCTTACACAGCAATGTCTTGAAAGACATTTACAGTATATGTATCAGATTCAATAAATCTGGGTAGCTTGTTCCAGACTCCCATAATCCCTTTTATGTAAATTTATCTCCCAGTAGTTTCCCGTTGTTTCCTCTGCATCATGTTTTGTTCTTGATTCTGCCTACCTGTGGTAGGTGAAAAAGAGTCACCTATAATTGCTAGTTGGTATAGTCATGCACAAAACAAAAGTAATTCCCGAATTTAGGGGTCATCCTAACTGATACCTTTTTGTTCTCCATTAGCAATGTTCCAGTCAAATTGACCAATGTCTTGAGTGGCTGCTGAAGTTCTGTTACTAACAGTCTATGAATAATACTGTATCTCTAGTTGGGTTATGCATCCATTTGTTTTAGTGCTTCTTCTCCTTGTAACACTTCTGCTTTTTTATACTAGAATTGTTTAATGTTTGTTATTCCTTAGCCTTACCTATTTCTGCCTTTGAAAATTTCTGAGTGAAATATTCCCTTGATAAATCAGTTATTTCCCATTTATTGTCCAAAAGCTTTCAGTTACAATACCTAAAATAATAATTGAAATAATAATGTCAATAAACTGATTTTCCTCCTGTCTCTCAAACACATACTGTAACCTTCAGGTGTTGGCTTTAAAATTTAATTTGTTCATTTTTGTTTCTCTTCTTTTCTGATAACAGATCAGGGATCCAGCCATCTTTAATTATTCTTTTTATGTTGTGCTTTGGGAGGCACTATTATTTTATCACTTTTAATGCAAATTAAATGCATTAATTATGTCTTATTGCCAATTTTTTCTAACTGCTGTTGACAATTGTGAGATGTTTTAAATCCAATGTAAGCATAATATGCTTTATAAAAAATCAAGACAAAACAGGAATGTAGATCTTGACAATAATTTTGAGTTTTGCATTCAGTATGTATGTTTAAAAAATGATACAGTACATTTTCTTACTGCATTTCTAAAGTCATGGTCCTTCATAGTTTTTTTATTTTACTGCCTGCATTTTAAGGAGGTAATTTATAGTAAAATACTAAGAGAAAGAACAAACAGTCACAAAAAGGAAAATGCACAGGTCATTATAGTTTATTTCATCTTTTGGCAGAGTTTCGGATGTGGTTATTAGGTTTAAGGTATTAGGGTTTTGAACTAATTTGTGCCTCTATGTGAACCAGGAGATTCAGCTGAGGAAGTTGACCTGAATGTTGTGTATCAGGCAGCTGCTAATGGAGATGTCAACACCTTAACGGCCATAATTCGTGAGGATCCCTCCATCTTGGAATGCTGTGATAGTGAAGGTAAGGCATTTATTGAGTCTGATACACTGTAAAAGCAAGACCTGTAGATTAAACTAAGACAAAAAAAAGACCTGGAAATAGTCAGCCTTTAACTTCCAAACTCAAAGTGAAATGCCTGTTGAGACTGTCTTCACTTCTTCCAGGAGCAACAAGATTGTTATACCTTGCCCGTAAACGTCTTCCCTCTGTTGATGCAGCATCCTTGAGGAAATGTTAACAGCTGTTTGACAGCCAGACTCATTTTTATTTCATCTGATAATTGCTGTTGTACTGCTCTCAAACTGTACTGTACATAATTTTGTTCGAAAAGTATTTGAGTCTGTGATTGTGTGGTAGGACTAGTTATATTTGTGTATTTTGCCTGTCAAGAAGTATAATAATAAAATACGAAAGAACTATTTTCAAAATATACTGTCGTTTAAATAATTAAAATAATGAAAGCTAAGAAATGATCGGCAGAACATTGATCAATTCCAAGTTATAAAAAGTACATGATTTTAATAGACAAAGTTGGAGTTACATTATCTTCCCCTGACCATGGGATTGGTGAAATTGCCCACCAAGTGAAGATAAAACACTTGTATTTATGACCATGGCCATGACCATTTTTATTTTTTCATTCGTTGTTAAGTAAGATGCTTACATTAGTGTGGTTTAGGATTGACAGTCTACTTCAGGGCCGAGGAGAATGAATTTTCTTGTACCAACCTTGAAGTGTGAGCAGTTTAGGCTGATGATGAATCCTTATGCAGGCAGACAGACATGCGAGCAGTTGGTTACAGGCAAGAGGCAAAAAGACTCTTGAGAACCCATGGTCAAACAGAAAAGGGTTCAAATGGGGGAAATTCACGAAAGCACAGGGGAAATACAAAGGTGTAATCAGACACCAAACAAGGAGTCAGTAGCACAGGACAGAATTCAAGGGTCAAGGTGATCCAGGTCTTGCACAAGGAGCAGCTAGAAAGCTGTTGTGTGAGCAATCTAATGCAGGCAGACAGACATGTGAGCAGCTAGAAAGCACAAGGGGGGATCCGGCAGTCATAAGAACAGTCAGTAAGTCAAGTTAGGAAATAAAGTAGCATGAAAGAAACGCTGAGCCTTATAAATAAAGCTCTAAGCCTAAGCAGGGAGGTACTGTCAAAGCTGGTTTAAATAACCTGCTGGAACAAGGTAAGTGCTGATTTAATTACGCACGGTGGGACTGATAATCTTCTGATGAGCGAATTGATTCACATCCTGACCGCCAGCCATGGTGTTTCGAATATGTAATCCAGCATTCGCCGCTAGTAAGTATGTCCTGGGAAAGTGTCCCGATCAACCACAGCCAGCATGTCACAGCTAACATGTGAATTGAAAGGCAAACGGATGGATCCCTTAAATCAGTTTATTTCTATACTGCTTTTTCAACAGGGTCAACACCTCTGATGCATGCTGTTTCTGGACGGCAGGTGGACACTGTGAAACTACTGTTAAAAATGGGTGCCTCCATTAATACTCAAGATGCCTGTGGAAGGACTTCTCTCTCTCTGGCAACATATCTGGTACTCCAAATACTTCAAATGAGCGCTACATTCAATATTGCCAATACTGTACATAAAACTAAAAGTACTAAAGCAGTGGTTCTCAGTCCCAAGTGCTCCTTTGTCTGCTGCTTTTATTTTAGTTGGATGCTGAAACCCAAGTGCTAACAAGAGCCCATAACTGATATGCTAGATGCTTTTTTTGTGGACTTGGTATAAAAAATACCCTAGTTAAAAATATGGTACCCCATTACAGTGGTTCTGAATTCTAGTCATACTGTAACACCTGTGTCTTCTGTACTCTGAGAATTGTCTGATTCATTATCATTCCCACCTACAGTATGTCTGTTTTTCAGTTGATCACCTGTAAAGAGCTGTCTAGTCAGAAATAAGGGAGCAAATGCTTGCATAACAACTTTAGACGAGAGTGCATAAGGTTCCGTGTTCTGACATTGTTGGACACAACGCGCTTTAAACCAAGACCCGAGTGCATAAAAGCTTAATGAAGCAAGTAGATGAGTTACTGACAGCAATTTGTACCAGTGATTAAGAGGCCAGTTAGAACAAAAACTCCAAGACCAGGATTAAGAACCACTGTTCTAAAGTATTCTAAAAGATTGTAAATCAAAGAATGCTGTCAGTTATGGATATATGAAATGAATGAGCACAAGAACTGGGTTTAAGAGCTCCCTGTTACTTTTCAAAGGGATGGCTAGAAGGATGTGTATGCCTATTGAGAAATGGAGCCAAGCAAAATGTATCAGACAAAAATGGACGACTCCCCCTACATGCTGCAACCGCTGAGACAGACCTCAGGTATGCTAAGAATAATCAGACAAAAAATATATGTTATTATATGATATACTGTAAGAATACCTTAGAAGAGATTTTTTTTTCCTTTTCACTTTTCAACATAGAATTAGCCCTTCCTTGTTCTTTTTCAATTAAATTGTCATGTTCCAATTTTGTACACTAAAATTATCATATAATGGAAGAGTCTTTAGGGATATGAATGTTAAAGTCTTTGAAATCTACTCAGGTTTATTGGACATTGCTTTTTATTAGGATGTAGGATCAGCACCAATACAAGTGAGTGATTTGTCTGTTCGAATGAATCCTTGCTCCATACATCATTACTAAAGTGTAACAGGGCACATGCACTGAGACACCTAGAAAGGGAACCTAAAGGAGAGCTGTATGTGTTACATAAGGATAATCTGCATATTTAACAACACGAGTACTGTATGATATAGACAGTATGATATAGCACACGAGACACATGTAAGATGTTAAGTAAAGAAAATAGTAGAGTGCATATGCAATTAGTAACTAGCAAGAATTCTGTACACATTAAAAGTGTGGTGGTATTACATTTTCTGATATTGCGAGTCAGGCTAATAATTTGCTGTAACAGCAAGGTCTAGATTCACTCGAAGGACTTCCATGGTCCCCATAGCGACCACAGACCTTTGCTCGAAACAGGAACGTGGCAGCTGCTCCACTGCTTTTCATCCTGCTGATTAGACAATCATTCGCTCTCTTTCTAAATAAATACATTACTTTTACCAAGCCTATTTTCAGAATCCTATTCACTGGCAACAGCTACATGTAGAGAGAACATGAATATGATTCATGACTGGGAAAAAATAAGGATTGTTGCTTACTATTAATGTTTAAGATAAGCTGAAGAATGATTACCAGTGTTTCTACATAATAGTGGAACTGTTCAGATATCTTCAAACTGTGCACCTGTGAGTCTGGAAAAAATATAATGCTCAGAATGAAAAACCAAGTGCAAGACACTATTTAAAAAGAATTTAACACTTCTATTGTTAAATTTCTCCTCAACTTCTCATTCAAAATGATGTCTTATCTGCAGAACACGACCTTCTAGAAATGCACAGTAGTTTATATCTCCATTAACATCGCTCATGCCAAGTTATAATGAAACCAGACAGACTAGCTTGTGAGGTGTGGAGCTCAATGATGGGTGGACAAGAATTTCAAAGTGGAGAAGTAGTGGGCTTCAGCATTTTTTTAGAACTGTTATTAATTTAAGTAAAACTGCTTCTTAAGAGGTTGTGCGACACCTTCTTTGTGGAGTCACATTCAAAGACACATTGAAATGACTTGTTTAAAAAACTGACAACTCAACAACAAATTAGCATAAATATTAATTGTCAAAAACAAAAAAATGTATGTTTAACTAATACATGGACTAGTAAAATTAAATATTTAATCCTTATGAATACTAAACATTTAAAACTGTTTTGGTTTTCTTCCCATTTGCACTATAATAAATGAGTAAACCAGTTTATCAGAGGTTAGAGGAGTGTTACTTAAAATGTTTACATTTTCCTATTTCTTTGCTTATTTTCATCCATCATGATATGTTTCTGTTGCAATGTTAAGCAAAGCTTAATAAGTCAAAAGACTTTTCTCTCAGTCTTTACTTTATACAGAAGATGTATATTATAATAGGCTACTTACTATGCTACCTATCCTAGTAATTTATCAAATACTATTATAGTATGTTATTAAAGACTCAGCAATTTTATGCAGTTGTGTTTTCTGCAGTGAAGTGAACCTTCAGTGGAGGTTCAGTGGAACCTTATTCTTCAGTTAGTGGTGAATGGTATATTATTCAACAATGTGTTTTTCATGCAAATAAAAACAATAGTTTCATCTATGTGTTGGGAAACCAACAGCATAAGTGTTTCTTCAGCATCAATTGAATCTCACCTATTAATATTTAGTGAAACCAGCATGCTCCATTTTCAAGGAATAAATTCACTATTCACACATACTTCCATCATGAAAAAATATACATTTTTTGCTTGTATTTGTTACAGGCTCATGGCTGTACTGTTGCAGCAGTCTACACTGTGTGAAATTAACCATCAGGACAATGAGGTAAGCAACTTTATTATTTGAACAAACTATTAAGCGTGCTTGTTTTCTATTTTATTTTGTTGTTACTCAGACATGGCCATGTGACATTTTTAACTTCTTTGATCCAAGTGCTTGGAAGAACCCTGGACAATCTTTACACCAAAGTACTTTTTTCACTCTAGACATAACCAGTTTAAGTTTACATTTATTTATGTATCATAAATGAATAGTAACAGTAAAATAATTTGTTAATTCGGAAAGCACCTTCACTTTCTGGGTTCACATCTCAAATGGGACACTACTGTTGTACTCTTGAGTATAAATACACTATGTGCACATGTAAGTTGATTTGAATAGGAGCTTTAATCAAATTGCTGGAGCCTATCCAGGCAACCAATGGGTGCGAGGCAGGTTACACCCTGAACAGGACACCAGTCCATCACAAGGCACACACAGACGCAAACATGCACACAATTACACCAGGGCTGATTTTCTCAGAAACCAACTAGCCCTATGAAGATGTCTTTGGACTGTGTGAGGAAATTGGAGCACCTGAAGGGAACCCAGACAAACACAGGGAGAACATATAAACTCCACAGAGATAGCACTTCAGGTCCAGAATTCAACACCAAGCCCCAGTGCTGGGAGTTAAAAATGTTCATCACTATGCCACTATACCACTATGCCACTAAGTACAGTATGTATTTAGAATTTTTCATTGGTTCAAGCATTCGATTCATTACAATCCTTTTTTTATCTATGGCAGTCAGTATGGTTAATCGTCAATTACAATGTGATAAAGGAAATATTACTTGGACAGTGTTGCTTGAGTGCTCATGATTAAGTGATTAGCAGCAGTCGTTTTTTCCTCATATTTCATCATCCCCCTTGATCCTTTTAGCTCAATTGTGTCATACAGTGCTTTTAAAGATCTGCTGTACTCAGGTACATTGATGTTTACTTGGAGGATGGCAATAAACAGTCATGTGTAACATAATTTTGTCGTCAAACGTCACTGCTAAATACATCACAGCTGATGTTGCGCATTTTGGTGCTTAATGTCCACTTGCAACCTGGATACACAGTCAGCAGATTTCCTCTGCTTGTTTGCTATGTTAATACAAAACAGATGTTTCCCAATAAAAAAAAAACATCATTTTCACTTTATAGAATGCTGGAGTTGACACATCAATCCTGGTCATTTCCTTACAGATAATAAAATAGAACATTTTTTTAAAAAATCCAATTTTTACAATGGATGAGGACATGGATATTCATATTCTTGAGCCGCCCACTGTTCAGAATACAAACCCATTGCTTGGCTCATTTTTTATCTGGCAGAAATATCTTCCTTAACCAGCTGAAAATGTGCTATTTCTACTCTACTCTATATCTACTCATGATTTCCATTTTGGAAATTTTTACCTAATGAAAACTAAACAGAGGGAATCAGAAGGGCAACATTGTCTGCTTGATGGTTTCCAGTGACTAGGACGATTGTATTAATTTTAATTTAGGACCACCAACTCTGTTTGTTGCTTCACCTGATCTAGAATGGCCATTTAGGTTTTTCCTACATCTTTGCCATCAACACCAACCCTCTGGATCAAACGTACAAGGAAGTGTTGACAGACCTCCAGCTCTACTGGGTTTTCTCCAGGTCTAGCAGTGTAGGGACACTCCCTGGTGTCCAAATCCTTTCTGAGTCGGACGTTGCAGCCTGTGTCCCTTTCAATTCTTCACTCCTCCAAATTCCTGTTGAATTCTCCTGCCTGGAGCTTTTGAAATCCCTGCTTGCCAAGAGCACTTTTTGATGTCTTGAGCGAGGGCAGAGCTACTGTAATTCATGGCTCATTGATCAACCAGCTGGATGCAGGTAGATAGGTTTTAACAGTGAGTTGTGGATCCGTAACCTATTCTAGAGACCCCCCCACTCAGTCTAATCCCCATTTAGATGCTTCGCGCAATCCCACACATCGCCTTTGAACTGTGTGGTAATTAACAAATGTATACACAAGGACATTTAATCAATGGGGAGGTCTAAGGAAAAGGAGAGAAATGCATTAACCATTGGGGAGGCACCGCCCATTCTTGGCAAACTTAACGTCAATATACAGTAGTTCCTGACACCTGTGCTTGGGGAATCCTGGTGGAGTTTTAATTTCGCTTTTGACCAAAATCTAAAAACTTAAAGGTCTTGGAAGCAAAGGATATTTTCCCTACTTTAAGCACTCTTGTTCCATTCACTTTTACAGGTTGTACCTCTGTTGTTGTTATTTGTTGTAGTGTAATTTGAACTTCAGTTAAAACTTTTAAACATTCATTATAGTGCCGTCACTGAAATGTGGGTATATGTTGAAAAAACTGCACAATTGCAAGTGGAGTCTTCCTCACAACTAGTACAAAATCCCCTTATTAAATGGTCATTGTGTGAAAGGTTTTAGCCTAGATTTAAATGCACAGGGTAGCTGACTCTCTGATACCTTTGGGAGTAGAATTCCAGAGCTTTGGGGTGTAGCAATAGAAGACCCTATCACCTGTAAAAGAGCTTGGGGGACTATAGTCAAATGAACCAAAGTTGCGAGGTGGGGAGTCAACAGATAAGTCAGATAGACATTTGACTTGAAACTGGATAGGAAGTCAGTGAAAGGACTCCATGGCAGTCATAACGTGGTCGCTTGCATGCAGCTAGATTAAGATTGTGGCTGCTGAATTCTAAACAAATTGGAATCTGTTCAGTGTGGATTTAAATACACCAGCGAGTAAGGCATTGTAGCAATCAATTTTAGAATAGACAAATGTGTTGACCAGCTTTTCTGCCACAGTCAAATACAACTTGTCTGGTGATAAGGTATTTTACACACTCTTTTTATAGAGTATAAAGTGTTTTTAAAATATTCTGCACAAAGTCAACAGAGGATCAAATATCACCCCTAAATTCTTTAGTATTATTTTAAATTCCAGCTCAGTGTCATCCATAGGGTTACTCCACTGGCTCTCTGTAGGTGAAGGTGAGGTGCCGAGTAGCATGATTTTAGTCTTATCACAGTTTAAGTGACGGAAATTTTAAACCAGGTTTTTATATCAGTCATGGAATTAAATAGTGCAGAGATAGTTACTTCAGTGTCAGGTTTACTGTGGACAAGAGATCTGAGTTTCCAACCAACTCCAATAGAGAAGCAAAGTGTCAGTGATTAGTATGATAAGAGTTGATGTCAGAAATTCCAAACACAGTCACATATGGAAGAGTAAAATGTCATGATTAAAAGTGGCTAAACCAGCAATTAGGTCTAGGAGAATTAGGAGAGAGAGGTATCAACTACCTTAAGAATATTGTTAGTAACTATTACACAGACAGTTTCTGTTCTGTAATTGTAATTGTCTGAAACCAGATTTGAAGGTTTTAAAAAGGTAATTTGCAATGAGGTAATTGTTAAGGTTGTCCACAGCCAGGTTTAGTTTTTTAGGCACAGGTAAGGTACAGGTAAGGCACAGCTAAGGCACAGGTTGACCAAGAAGAGAAATGAAGAGCCTTTACAGAAAACAAATCCAGAGGGCGTGCTCACAAAGCAGAGCATTTAGGTCTTCAGTAAGCCTTACAGCCTGTTTTTCTTACTGATATATATTGTGATAAAACAGAAGTGTTTAAATAATTGAATAAAAAGCTAAAGCCCATATTAGACTGCTTCAACAGACCAGAGCTCAAACTGTTTCTGTAGTGTTAACCAGACTTTAGAGCCCATGACTCAGTTCCTGGACAAGATGTCCTCAGAGCAATGCCGGTTCCCACTTATACAGCTGGTTTGATTGGAGTGAAATATCTCTCTCACAGCAGGGACTTGAAAGTCCAAAGTCTTACCCACTATGCTATGCTGCCCCAGCGGAATACCTGAATACACAGAGGCTGAAATATGAAATAGACTAGCAGGTTCTGACAACAGCTTGCCTAGCAAAAGTCAACAACTGCACACCTCCACTCATTAGGGAATACTAATCACATGGCACATTTTCTTTCATCTCTAGCACAGCATGGTAGCAAAGCAATATCCTTGGAAAAAAAACAGAAACAAAAAGATATATCAGATTCGCACAAGATACACAGATTCGCACAATCTGTAAATTGTATTGTAAATTGCAATTGTGTAATTTATTGTATCCTAATGTTAATCTAAAGCCTATAAATTCCTGTCCTACTCTTCTATCCTTCTTAACGAGCTCGCAGAAAAAGCATTTAATTTCCAACAACACGGCTGTATGCTGTACTGTTCGTGCATTGATAAATAAACCTTGATTGATTGATATATTTGCAATAATTTACAAATTCCAACAGAAATCATTGACAGTTATTTAGATATAGATATTCATAAATCTGTGGGCCCAGTCTTTTATAAACATACTGTAAAAAAAAAGAACTCCACATGGCATCAAATACCATGTAGGAAACAAGGGAACCCATTTCTTACAGAATAAAGATCCTATTAAGAAGTTATTCCCTAAAACTGATGCTAAATGAATGGGAACCTTGTTCCCTATTCCAGTAAAGTGTTACTTAAACCAGGAATTACCAGTCCTTTCCTGGAGGTCCCTCACACCTGCTGTTTTTCCAGCTGAGCTCTCAGTTACACCATCCACTTTATAATCGGATCAATCTGAAGTGTATTGCAGTTTCAGATCTTTAAAAACTTGGAGATTGACTTTTAACCATTGCATTTCATAAGTAAAATAATATCCCAAATACAGGAATTTGAGTAGAAAATAACAATTCTAAAAGTTCCAAATCATTTCATTCCAGCAACCTGGTTAAATAAGGCTTAAATTAGGTAATTAAGCTCAGCTGGAATGAAAAGCAACAGGTGTTTGGCCTTCTGGGACCAGAACCGGGAACTGCTACTAACCAGATGCAGATATCTCTCTCCGGGTGGATACCACAAGTAATAAATTGGTATTTTCATAAATACAGTCCACACTGTGAGGATGTGCATTGTCTTACCATAGATAATGGGGTACTGAGATGTGAAATTTTAACATTTTCATCCCTCCAACATCTATTCACTTTCTGAAAGCTTTACCCAATACCTCCAACATGTAACTATACAGTATATACTGTATATCCAAAAATGACATATTTGGAAACAGACATGAGGTCATCTAACTGTAACTCAAAGTTAACAATAAACAATGAATTTAAAATAATCTTAGCAGGAAATATTTTCTTCACTAGAAAAAGAACATGTCATTGCATTTTTCTGTTTGTGTTTTTACTAAAGGCCCAATAGCTATTGATTTATGTGGCTGACGCATTTATCATTATATTTATTTGCATTTGCTTTTTGAATTACCTATTAAAACAGCTGGCCAGTCTGCTGGCACAATCTGTGCAGATTGCCTTTCTTTTATCAATCTGGGAGTCCTCAGTCTGGGAGTTTAACCCATAGCCTTCCAGGTTATGACCATTCCTCAATGCTACTGCATCATATAGAAAGAAAAAACGTATGAATCATGCATGTTGTATGTAACAGCAAAGGATTGCTTTTCATTTGTGGAAAATACATACTAAGACTGTACTCCATATTCACAAATAGAATTCAAATTTCTATTAGGCCCAATGAAATGAAGTGAAAAAAAGAAAGCAAATTTGTATTCATTTGAAAGGTGTGCTAAGTATCATGGCTCTGAAATCTTAAAACATGTGTTTTTGGACAATTAAGCAATATATGCATCTGGATAAACATAAATGGTGCAGCTGTGTTCCTCTGGGTCTTGCCTACACAGACTCTGAGAGGCTGAAGAAGCTGGTTGTCAGGTTTGAGAAGAGGGGCGACAGCTCTAACTCAAATGTGCTGTTATTTACATAAGACCTGTGGAGGAGGTGCAGAGCAGCAGAAGAAAGAGACTGCTGGTTGGGATTGACTTGGAAAAAGACGACAAAGAATTTAATTGGGAAAGGCCATCTAAAAGCAAAGTGTTCTCATACACATAGACTGCAGCAGCCCACAAAAACTATACTGTACATCAAATCAAGGAGATACTTAAAATGAGATGTATTAAACCTACACAATATGTACTGTATTTTCAATGCAATACAAGAACTGCATTGTATTTGTACTTGTATTGCATGCGTATTTTGCAATATTATTGCATATGTATTTTTATTGTGATCATTTATTGTATTTTATGGACATACAACACTTCTCCAAACTCCTCTTTTTCAGATTCATTTTGTTTTTCTCATTTCCAGGGCATGTCTCCTCTTCACTGGGCTGCCTTTCACAACCGTCCTCAGCATGTCCAAGCCTTACTGCAGAAGGGAGCCAATCCCACACTCGTAGATAAGGACTTCAAGACAGCACTTCACTGGGCTGTTCAGGTGAGACTTTCGTGACAAGAAGAAATGCAAAACAGCAAGGCCTCACTTGATAAAACCGTATTAATTAAAGCAAGCAGACACTCATGCACAAGAGTGCAGAATTAATTAGTGCAGGTACATAGCATCTGGGAATAGTGTAAATCATTCTCTCAAGCAAAGTTGACTGTTTTTATTGTTGTTTCACTGCTCTCTTGGAATTAGACCACTTATTCTCAACAGATATTTAATATAATTCTTTTTAGCACTGTTTAAGATTCTCTATAGCTTCAGTTTTGTCTTTAAAGAGCTTTCTTCAGAATTACTGTACTATAGCTAACATTTACAGCCATGGTGCTAGAATTGTCTAATACACAAGACGTTTTACTTTCTATTCACCCCTTCTTTTTTTTTTTTTGCACGTAGCTTTAGGATTCAGGATTTAAAAAGTTTATCACAGGACGACAGAGTTTCTACCAGACCTCCAAGACTCTTCTTGTGTGAAGAGGAGTCTGTTCCTTTCTGCCCTGAATACTGCTGTTTCAGAGAAAACATTTTAATTCTAGCATCCTGTTGTCACTGTTGATTGTGAAGATGTTTTCTGGAATTACTTTGACTTTGAAAACCTGTATCCTGTCTAGTCATAATTTGAACATTTACAGCATGGAACATTGGAGCTCAACTGTCATAATATGACACTGCTTTCAGTTTAGCATTAGTGTGGTTGCTCTCCTTAGTATTTTGTATTGCTCCTCCAGAACTGATGTCTCTTTAGGATTGGAGGATAAAACCTTAGACAATTTAGTAAATCTTCAGTTTAACGGACTTCTTTTTAACAGGCTTTGGATTTAACAGACAAAATCTGCTAAAGGGGAATTTTGTCTGTAAAATCAGAAATCTCGGACTTTCCCTGCAATAATGGGGAAATGCAAAAATAATCCACCAAGGTAAAAATAAATACTACAGGGCAGCACAATGGAGCAGTCATTAGTGTTGCTGCTTCACACTGCTGTGGCCATGGGTTCAGTTCCAGACTTGGTGTGCTATCTTCATTGAGTTTATATGTCCTCCTTATGTCTGTATGGGTTTCTGCTGAGTGCTCTATTTTCCTCACACAGTCCAAAAAACATACTGGTATGTTCACTGGCTTCTGGGAAAATTTATTACATAATATTTTAAACAGTACATACTATGTGATATTCTATAATGAAACATTCCTATTCCTATTCCTTTTTCTAGTTCTTGTTATTAAACACTGCAACATAATGCTAACAATGCAACTCACTACTAGAATTTGATCATTATTGTTATTTGCAGCCATACCTAACAATTGTTTATGGTGGCATTTCATGTTTTAACATATTCCTAGCACTAACTTCTCAAAAGGCATCAGCAGGGGAGGTGCAGACTACTGTATGTTGAAACCATGCTGTAAAAGTTTCAAAATACTTTCTTTAATAGAAATTGAATTTGAACCCTGCTGCTTGTTGAGCTTTGCTAAAGTGCACTTTTTTTGCTTCTCCCACTCTTCTTTGATCCTGCTTTGCCAAAAGGCCGCTTGAGTGAGCTGGTTAAAACGTTTCATTTTTTTTCCTCTCCTTCATGTCGATTAGATATTCTATGTTCACTCACAATACCATCAGATGTATCTTTTTTTTTTTCAAAGAAGACAGGTGGCCCATTCACATTAAAAGTCTGAACATCTCATTTAGAATCTGAGCAATTCTTTACAAGTGTGTGGTCAATAAACCCCTTCCACTCTTTCCCCCATTGCCAGAGTGGGAACCGGCTCATGTGCTCTCTGATCCTTGAGCACCACTTGGGTTCGTCTGTGATTAACTATGATGATGAGAACGGGAAGACGTGTATGCACATCGCAGCCGCTGCTGGCTACAGTGACATCATCTACGAGCTGGCAAGGATTCCAGAAACCAACCTGCAAGCCCTGGACGTAGATGACAGGTTAGACTACATCCAACTATAGAAATGCATGTTTGCACTGTTTTGCAGTTTCTGCATGTTCATCATCATGATCTTTCTTATCATAAAAGGTACTGTTCTAACATCTAATGTTCCCATTTTTGTGGAAAAAATGTCTGCAAGCCCTCGTTATCTCAATGCTTAGGTTAATTTGTATACTGTATATTGCTCTGTAAACTGTTGATTTGCAAATGTTTGCAAAAAATAAGATTGCTAATTATTCATTTTTTTTGTTTACTTTTTGGGTATACTGTATTATTCTTCTGAAAAAATAATGCGTTCTGTGAACTAATGTATAGCGGAATTGAAATTACAAGTGCTGAGAACAAAGGGGCATGTTCTGTGATAATAAATATTACTGTTCACATGTTCCTACAGTAGCTATAGACTAAGTTCCTACAGTAGCAGTAGACTAAGAAGAATCAATACAATTAAATGAAGGAAAGAAGCAGAAAGCATACCTGCTGTGGTAGATCCAGTGCCACATATTCCAGCAGGATAGCTTTCACTTTCTTACTCTCAAGATTGAACATTTTCATATGAATTAACAATTGACCAAATTACCAAGAAAATTCATTACTCCATACCCAGGCCTAAGTTGTCATTCATACAGTATTTCTTGGTTTCTGAAAAAGTGACAGAACTGTGACTCACCATTTTTACCTACACAGCCAGCCTGGCACTGTGATCTTCCCTTCTCTGTGCTAGATGCAGACATGGAGGAGCAAGCCTGTCTGATCTTAGACCATGTCCAGAGCAGATTTCAAGAATTGCATTTAGAAACACAGTGTGTAACAATGCCAGTATCTTTGATACCATGATAACCGCAGCCCTGCCAGCATGATACTGTCCAGGTGGCTCCCCATTCCTCCAATTGCTAATACCTCCCAAGAACCCTGGTTCAGTTGCCCAGCCTTGTTCCTCAGCACCATATTTCAACCCCATTACGCCTGGCAAACAAACCTTTCTACACAGGACTTGTGATGCCCCTTGTCTTACCTGATCTTGTCCCTAATTGGACTCTCACTTCGTCTGGATGCCAATAATTCAATTACTGTAGACCACGTGTGTTTTTCTTTAACCTGACGTTTCTCCTTAAGAGGTGGCTTTCTCTCAAAGCTACCTTGCAAAGCCTCAGGCATCCTGATATGTCTACAGTAGCTGCGAGAACCAATGCTGATGTACCTTATAATTTTTAACAAATTTTAAGTGTAAGAGTTATAATAAGGTTATAATTCATGTCCTATGAGAAACACAATGTTCTGTACATTTATGATTACCACCGAACATACTGTATATAGAACCCTTCCAAATAGAAAGCATGGAACTTAAGTCCTTTTATAAAATTCACATGATAAAAAACATACTGTAGGTTTGAACTGTGTATTTAATTTGGAGCTCAGAGATAGTGTTTCATCTCTCTTGACATAACTGGTTTGATTTTGACACCAGAACATGTCACTTCTAAATTTACTGTTTTTGTAAGTCTCTGACTTTTACCTCTCACCTATTCTCTGTAGTATCCCTTCTATCCCTTCTGAGTATTTGCAATAACCATGAGCTAAATATACAGTGTCATCAAATGGCATTTTGGCTATATATGAATCAGTATTGTTGCATTGCCCTTTCAAACACGTTTCACCACCTCATTCTATGATTTTGTGTTTATTAATTTTTATTAGTAAGGTGGCCTGGTTGTATGTTGTTTTTGTGTGTGCGTTGGTGGCTTGAGTCTCATTCCCAACCCCTCCAGATATGAAAGCAGTGAGAAAAGGCAATTGCTGTGCTGCGTCTCCTGATGAATAACACTCCCACGTGCCCTTTTGTACGGTCCTCCAGGACGCCACTCCACTGGGCTGCGGCAGCGGGGAAGGCTGACTGTGTGCAAGCGCTGCTGCAGCTGGGGGTGGAGCACAGCCCCAGGGACATCAATGAGAACACTCCTTTGACATATGCAATGTACTGTGGGCACACAGCATGCATCAAACTGCTCTCGCTGGAGAACAGGTGGGCTAGCACTGTGCTGCTGGTTGTTAGTCATCCTGACTACAAAAGGGAGGCTGAGGGGGTCTGACAGAGATATAAGAAAGTAGGTTTTTTGTAACAATAGCAGTAGCTGCCATTGTGTTAAGGAATTCAAAGGATGCTATTTTCTATAAGAAAAAAAAAACATGTTTAAGAGTTTGATATCCACCATAACCATTTACGTAATTAAAACATACAGTATACTGTATAAGACAATAATTAAGATATAAAACAAAACATAATTAAAAAAACAGTGCATCTACATTATCTTTGCAGGTTTGTGAGAACAGGAGGTGGAGTATTATTTGGGCTCCCAGGGAAAAATACAATTAAATGAACACTTTATTACAAGTTTTTCTTTTTCAAAAACCAAAAATAGGATTCTATGACTCTAAAACCTCCTAGTCTGTGCAAAGGAGCTCTATGCTCTTCTTCAAATCCACTGTGTTTCCCAGAAACCATACTATTACATCCGTACACCTCACTCTGCATGTTTGCTGAGCTGCAGTGTCGAATGCTGTCTCAACACTAGCCCCACTGAATGACTACCTTATGAAAACAGTTACCAACTGAGCTGTTAACTCAAACAAACCCTGAACCTAAATCTGATCCAAATACACAGTTCCAGCAGGCTACTACTGTAGCCTCAGCACTAGTAGTTACAAGAGACTTTGCAATAATTAGTTTACAATTGTAGTCTTGTGTGTGGAGAAGGCCTGTTCTGTGAGTGTCACGGATGTCAAGACATATCGTGGAATGGCAGGAGAGCGAAAAATTACCCTTTGTGTAACAGCGGGACTGTGGTTAGTCCGGGCTCAGCTGTTCAGGAAATGCCATATAGAAACCTATGCCCTCAGGCCAGACAGGAGGAGCGACGTGGTGCTAGGCGCTCCTCCTGTCTGGACATCCGAACCTCAATGCTGAGCGAGGAGCAGAGCAGACACAGGAAGTAAATAGGCTACACAACAAGACACACCAGAAAGACATGAATAATCACAGGGAACTAGGAACAGGACAGAAGTACAGCTCCCTCTAGGTTTACTGGTTGTGACAGTGGGACCCTTGCATATACTGTACTTACATATATTACGCTATAGCACTAGGCTACTGCTGGCAGGTGCTAAATTATTGAATACTGTAAAAATACAGAAAAGTCCATCACATATCAACAAACACCAACTGTACAATATTTTTAAAAAAATCAATTGTGGTTTGAAACAAAGCAATGTGTCTAGACATTTTGGCAACCCCTGAGGTAGTAATAATATTGAATTAGCATTTAATGTTCTGCATGTTACAGTTTCTAGGCTGTGAATTGCCAGTGGATTTGCATTTAAATTATTTCCTTTGCTTATTGCCGTTTTCTACAGATCGGAGTCACTGAGGCCGTTACCTTCCCAAAACAATCACCAGTCCCAAAAAAAGGAGGGAAGGTTCAGTATGCTTAATCAAATATTTTCCTGCAAGAAAAAGAAAGATGATCAAAACACGGGGCAGAAAGAGAACAGCCGAGACCGGTACATAGGGGAAGAAACCTCTGAAGTTGATGACATCATCACGATGTTTGACTGCATTATGGATACGTCTGGCAAAGACCTGTCTGAGGAAAGAACGAACACTGCTGAGGTCAGAAAAAAGGCTAGTGAAATTCAGAAACACCATGTCACAGAAAAAAACCCACCAAAGGAGTACAAGGGTCTGCCACCTATAAGAACACAAAGTCTTCCACCCATCACGCTTGGCAGTTCAGTATCAGCCATTTCTCAGAACACAGTGGTTGGCAATGCCACTGGGCAGATTGCCTACCATTTTGCCCACAGGTCTCAGAAGAGCAGAAGTGAACATGACTTATTTGACAGCAGGACCAAATGCACAGCTCTTCTGAGCAACTCCTGGAAGTCAGAGTCGAATCAGGTACAATCACAGAAGGCATGGACGGCACCTCCTTCTGAAAAGTTGTTGGATGACATCCTCAAAGACGGATCCAGTCGCATGGAACTCCTCTATCCAACCCATCTTCCTTACTTGCATAAAAACGGCCAAGGTGAGTGTACTTTTGGGAAGCAGAAAATGTGCAGTTGACTAACACTTGCAATATGTACAACAAGTAAGGTTAGTGCCACACACAAAATACTTTTATTGCTTCATTTTGATATCTTTACGTTTAACTCGTGTGCCTAGTAAGTAAGCACTTTTCTGCTTCCATGCACTTTACCTCTTTGTGAACATCGATGTACTTTTTTCTGGTCTCTCCCAGTAATGATCTGTCCTTGACAGCTAAAAATTAGAAACTGTCCAGTTTTAATATTTAGAAAATCATGATTATGCATACATACAGT